CTCAAGATGAACTCCTCTTTGGTTGGCAACCAGAGTGGCCGGCCGTTCTGTCTCCTGGCTATTAGCTATTTGGAGACCATCAATTTTTGCCTCCTGGAAGTGGTTATTATTGTGTTCCTCATGGTGCTGATTATTTCGGGCAACATTATTGTGATATTTGTCTTTCACTGTGCACCTCTGCTGAACAACCACACCACCAGCTACTTCATCCAGACTATGGCGTATGCTGACCTCCTGGTGGGCGTGAGCTGTCTGGTGCCTTCTTTGTCTCTGCTGCACTACCCTATTGTTTTAAGTGAGTCCTTGGTTTGCCAAATCTTTGGTTATGTGGTATCAGTACTAAAGAGCGTCTCCATGGCCTCTTTGGCATGCATTAGTATTGACAGATACATTGCCATCACGAAACCGCTGACCTACAACACGCTGGTTACCCCGTGGAGACTTCGAATCTGCATACTGGTCATTTGGCTCTACTCCTGCCTAGTCTTCTTACCCTCCTTTCACTGGGGAAAGCCTGGATATCACGGGGATGTCTTTCAGTGGTGTGCCAACTCCTGGAACACTGATCCCTATTTTACCCTCTTCATTGTGGTGATGCTCTATGCCCCGGCTGCTTTCATCGTCTGCTTCACTTACTTCAACATCTTCCGCATCTGCCAGCAGCACACCAAGGAGATCAACGAGAGGCGAGTGCGCTTCAGCTCTCAGGATGGGGAGGCTGGGGAGGCACAGCCCTGCCCGGACAAGCGCTATGCCATGGTTCTTTTCCGCATCACCAGTGTCTTCTACATCCTCTGGTTGCCCTACATAATCTATTTTCTGCTGGAGAGCTCCAATGTCTATAGTAACCGCATTGCATCCTTCTTGACCACTTGGCTTGCCATTAGCAACAGCTTCTGCAACTGTGTCATTTACAGTCTCTCCAACAGTGTCTTTCAGAAGGGGCTTAAGCGTCTCTCGGGGGCTATTTGTGCCTCTTGCGCTAGACAGAGGGTAACTAAGGACTCCTCTACCTCTAGGAGCAAAAGATCTTCCAACGGATGTCATGTCTAAGACACCTGTCAGCTGGACTGGGAAGTGCAGGGACAATTCCGTAAATTGCAAAATAAGTTAAATACAATTTTAAGATGTCCAGATTTGCAAAAAGGTTTCTGAGAAATGCTGCTGACATTGAAGAATCAGGAGCACATGTCATTGTGGTTTCACTTAAAAAAATTATTGCGGTGGAGGAGGCTGTGGAGTTTCACCTCCATATTCACTTTTAAGAATAAAGCTGTATCTTGACACTTACCTCTCCAGCTGGTGTGACTGAATGGAGTGGGTGTCTGGGAGCTTTGGCAAAATGTAGTCTTTCTTACAGCTTTACTAGGTTCTTTCGAGATTCGTGCTTCACATGTAAATGACAGATCTGAAGTGAAAATGTCACAGTATATGGTATATTACAGGGATTTTTTAATATATGCCAAAGTATATTGACACAATGTTCCAGCAGCATCACAGAAGGGGCCAAACAATTTGTTTTTCAGTGCCACTTAGACAGGACTTCTAGAACAGTAGTGAACAATGTGAACATTTTAGTGTGAACTTAGAGTCTTATTGAGCCATGAGTGCAGTGATGTGAGCTGAACAGTCGTACGTTGGGGAGGACTGATCTGGCTTCTGTGGCCCGTTTCTCTGGTAGGATGCATGGGTGTGATCAGAGTACGGCATCTGCATTTTCCTGTTTGTTGTGAAGCAAGAAGAAAAACCTGGATCAGACCAAATTTAGCAGTTAAATAAAATGTGTTTTGATAAGCTAAGAGAAAATACATGTCGCTTTATGATACCAGAGTTGTGGCAGCTGCTCAAGGATGATGCCAACATGTGAAAATTATTCCCAAACCCGTGGAGAAATGCCACGGTTTTGTATGTGGAAATTTTCTCAAGAACAACTTTAAAAATAACATGTCCCTTTTTTTTTTTTTTTTAATCTAAATTCTTCTGATATTTTACATACTAGAACTTAAGGGGAAAGGAAAGAAAACAATTGTCTTCTAAACAGCTAAGGGAACTATGTTGTAAATTTAACCGTAGTATTTCAGTTATTCATAAGTGCACAGAGCTAAATCAGAGACATTTTTCTTTAGCCTTCGTGGGATTAAAGACAGTTCGAATATAGCAGGAGCTAAATCCTGTTGGCAAATGCATATCTTAAATGGTCAAAGTCAGTATCTGAGAAACAAAATCTCATTGACCGCAGCTTTTTCAAGCTAACTTAGATGAAATATTTCTGAGTACTATAGTGCTGTTAAGAAGGCAGTCTGGCCCTCAAATTGATGAGTTTTTCCTAAAGAATATCCTCGTCTTTTTACTGATGCCATATTAGAAAATGAAAGTGAAGCAAGTATTCCTGTAATAATGGATTACAGTCTGCATTGTCTTATCTCGCCCTGTCCTTCCAGCACACCTCTGGTCTGAGAGCAGGTTGTACACCGTGGCCGTCCGCAGTTCGCTTCCTTGGTTGTGCTTCCAGTCGGTGCGTTGGACCGCTGTGGGCCTGGGGAGTTCTGTGAGCTCGTGTGTTACAATTGGTGTGTACTGTTAGTGGGAATGAAAAAACGTTGGGGAAAAGTAACTTGATTTTTTTAGAATTGGGGTCTTTCTCTTGGCCAAAGGGTGTTTTTGTTAAATGGTTTCCGGCCTACTGTTGTTCTAGATCAAGATCATCCTTGTTCTAGCACTCCACCCTGTCCCTCCCGCAGCATACACATACGGTCCTCTGTGGTCTGCTGTGAGCCCTGGCCTCCCATCTTCCGTGCTTTGTCCTGGAGAATAACGGTTTGTGTCTCTGTCCTGCCACGTGCAACGATCGCTACAGAGCATCCTGCGCGCTGCCCGTCCACGTTTACTCTGGCGCAGTCCTGTGAGGCTGCCGGTGAGCAAACAGCGGAGAGCGAGCGGCAGGAGGAAGCGCTCCTGGCATGGCTTGTGCTTGTCAGCACTCGTTGCTGATAGACTCGAGTTCAGCTTAGGGGTATGTGCGTGTATCTCTTTCTGGGGAGGATGGGGCAGAACCCCCTGCTGTCGCTGCCTAGTTTTGGTTTGAGAGCCCTGTTGTAAAGCACGTTTGAGTTGTACCTTGGTCTGCTTTCAGCGTATTTCATCCATAGTCCAAACCTCTCAAGATAAACTTCCTCCTTAGTTCGTCCGAAATTTTAAGAACAAAGGTTGTCTAAACCCTGACATCTTCACGACGACATTTCTTGTTATCTTTTGTAATAAGGCAGTGTCTAGAGTCTAGAGCCAGGGCTTACACTGTGGTCCTTGCACAGACGCGATCGAGGTGATTTGTTCTGAGGGGCTCTTGCAGTCTGAATTTTGGTTGGAGACACAGACAGCCGTGGGGGGAGCAGAGTGTAAGGGTGTAGTGAGTCATTTATAAATGGTATAATAAGCTCACAGCACATTAGCTGGCTAATTATTCTCAACTGTTTTGTAGGTATTATGGCAAAGGTGGGCTTTGGGGAACAATTTAAGGGCTTTAGTCACTAATATCAAAGCGTGTGTGTGTGGTATTTTTGGAACAGCCTCTCAGGTAAACTCCTAATAGCTTTTTTCCTGACTCTTCACCTTATCTGACATTTCCAAGTCTTTGAAGTGATGCAGTCTATCATTGAAATAGAATTTGATTAAATTTAATAGAAGAAAAGAATCTGCTAGGGCCTAAAACCCTAAAAACCTTCAGGTTTAAGTAGAAGCTGGAGAGCAAAGATTGTTGCTTTTTATTTATTTTTTTTTGTAATGGCATGAATAGAGGGTTTAAATAGGAGCATTGTATGCTAGTTTTTGAGAATATGGAAAATTGTAAAAAGTGGTAAGGGCTCTAAATCATGGCATAGAGATTTAACTGGAGGTGAAGCAGTTGCTACTTCAGCTATAAGCCTAGAGTTGTACTTAGTGTAGTGGTGATTCCAGATGCAGACGCATGCTTGCAGCTGTTGTTGCTTTGCAGCTAAGGTTCAGCTATAACATTCCTAACAGCCAGGCTTTTCTTCAGTTGCCTTACTCATCCCAAAGACTTCATCAGCTCAGATGATTTCCGCGAGAGGTGAAAATCAGAATCTGGAAGTCTCCAAGAGATCAGGATGGAGAGGAGTTGCAGCCAATTGATGCATTCAGGTTTCATCCAGTGTTTGTAAGAAACTTTTAAATGTTGCCTCAGTAGCGTAGTTTTAGTGTCAAATATTTCTATTTCTGTCTGTGTTAATTTATTGATTTTTTTAAAAAAATTGAATTACTTTTTTTTTTTGCTTTCAGTTAATTTAATGTTGATTTAGGTTTGTATGTGATTAGATGTTTTAAATATTCATAACATTTGAGTCTGTTGTTTTCAGTGAAATTGCGTGAGGGTGAATCTTGTTCACTGTGCCAACTGTGGAAGAAATCATTTTGAAATAATTACCTTGTTTGCTCAGCAGTCCATTTAACATCCTTTGTCATATAGTTAACATGAGGCACAGTAGTCCTGTTCATCACAATCTGTGCTATGAATGTTAGGTGGCAAACTTTCCAGTTGGATCACTTTCATCATTGTACATGTGAAACTAATCCTTTCTTGGCTATATTTGTTTCCGAGTGTGCCTGGTGCTTTAGAAATTGGTATCGAGAGCATTGCACAAATAAATGCCACGCCGAGGAGAATACAGAAATCAAATTACATCTTCATATAAATGGTGTGTTGTGATATGATTAAATGAACTAACTTTGAAGTTCCATCTCAGACTATAAATTTATTATTTTTTTTTATTAGGGTTATCTGCCTCACTTTCAAATTAAGCTGCTAGAAGGTTTAATTTGCGGGATGCAATTCAGTGGTATTTTTTTAGTACCATGGGAAGGATTTCTATATGCACAACTTCTCAGAAGGTGATAATTTCCTTCACCTAGAACTCTTGATTTTTTTTTTTTAAAGTTTACTGGAAGTTTAGGTTGTGATTATATTGTCATTTTCCAAATAGACTGGGAGAAAAATCTGTGAAATGTTATTTTTTTATAATCTCCAATCAAGTGATAGTATTTTTAACTCAATGGATATCTTTTGTGTGAAACAGAAGTTTTGCTGTTATCTACTGTTAGGTTTTCTTAATTAAATGTTACTAGTTTCTACAGTCTTTATTTGCTGTTAGGGGTTTTGTACTTGTTTTTAAGTTTATCACTGAGAAATTTGTTTCTGCTAGTTGGAATTCTGACATGGCTCAGTGTCCGAGTGCCAAGGGGCAGTCTTGAAGATTTGTCACAAACCTTTGACAAGAAGAAAGTGGTACAAAGTTCCAAGGCACAGAGAATCGCAAGAGTAGCACAGGGTTGCGCGAGGAGTCTTTCTTCCAGCAGACTCAAATGAGAATTTCCGCATTTCAGTCTCTATGGCGTTGTTCCATTCCCCCTCACACAAAGGTTTTACTTGTAAGAAGTCCTAAATTTCAGCAGTTTGTTCTGAAAAAGACACTTCCAAAGCCTCTATGTGATGTGAGATGGAAATATTCAGTATGCAAATTTCATAAGCAGATTGTTCGGTATTTATTGCGGTATTACCAACTGCTGTGATGCTAACAGATGTACTGAACCTTCCTGAGTCAGGAAGTCTGAAACATTTCAATCTGATCTTATTCCACATCAGGGTTTGAAGTTGACAGAATTTCTAATTCAGGTCGGTGCTTCAAAAAACATATTTCTTAGGAACTAATATGTGAGCATAGGAGTTTACCTTTATACATTACAAACAAAAGGCCCAGTTAAAATTTTTCCAATTAGTTGATTCATCTATTGTAGGTAATTTTAATTTAATAAGAGGAGGTGGAGGTTTTGGAGGGCTTTTGTTGTATTAACTTATTTTGGGTTCTGAGTACTTGAAGCACCTGCGAAAACATTTTCCTGACCTGGCCCTTATTTTGTTGTTTAGTTTGGAAACCTTTTTCTTCCCTTCTATGACTTTGCACAATACGATGACCCATCCTTTCTGTGGTGTCATTCAAGATAAACTTGGATTTTACCTCACTACCAACACTATCTGAAGTTGGCAAAGCACGTGTTTGTAACTGGTGTTCTGCTGAGATCCAAGAGGTGTAAAGGCCTCCGTGGTTTTCATACTTAAACGGGGGAAGCATAGCTGTCTTCCCTTACGGACGCTTGGTGAATGCTGGGGTGTTCTGTTGGGGCTGCCAGGAGGGGAGAGGCTGGGGCATAACGGTGGCGGAGGAATGCCCGAGCCCAGTCTGTTGGCTGTCCTGGTGAAGCCATGCTTCTTCCCTGCTCTCTCAGCCGGCCTGTTTCTTTCAGTCTGTTTTCTGCTCTTCTCTTTCCTATTGCTGAAATTCAGAGCTCTGGAGAGCGTGGTTAACATAGGGCTTTTTTTTTTAATCTTTCATATTCTTTATACTATGAGTACTGTTGTTCATATGTGGCTGTGCTCTCAGGTCAGTGTATCAG